TGATGTCAGTATTTATTTTTTTTTTTGTTGAAATAAATGAATACTAAAGGGACCAAATGTGCAAGAACCCTTGTGAGAGTGAGAAATATTCTATTAGCAAGTGAGAATTTGTCAAACACAAAAGTACAGATGATGTTCTGAACAGAATCTGTCTGACATTACTGTAGAAAAGACGGACAAATAACCCACTTATATCACAATGACATCTGTGCTCTCCCACGAGGTTTGGTGCATGGTATGCTCCGATTGGCCCTCTATTAGTCAACACTCAAAACAGACAGAAACACATAGCCTAGGTTTAGAGACGCCTATTTCTGCAGTGAAATAAAACCTGCAGTGTTGCCTATCTGCTGCTGAGAGCGAATTGGAGGTGAAGAGTTGAAATCGCAGGGTGAGACAGTCAAACAGAACCACCTCCGGCCGATTGCCACGTCACATGGATCAATTCGAAGGCCATTTTCCAGCCCAAACTAAATAAGAGTGATCATAATTATAGCATTTGAGGAGTCAGAATAAGCATTAAATGCATTCAATTGCTTAATAAATGTGTACATGAGCACAAAGGAATACTGCTGTCTGCTTTAGCCAAACAATTCCTCTTGTTGCTCAATTAGGGAGAGTGAGAACTCCAGGAAATCACAACGAGGTGTCTCCAAGCTGCTGGCTTTAAAACAGAAAAAAAGCAAAGAAATGGCATGAAAGGGGAGTGTGAAGGGGTGTGGAGATATTTCAGGCAGTTCTGGAATGTAAAAGGGTGGGGCCCTTCCCCCATTCCGGAGTGAGAGGATAAACACAAACCGCTCCTGGATAGATTCTCCAGACCACATTAGAACTACTCTCAATAAAACTACAGACACACACACACACGTTGCCTCGTGCTATAAAATCATGACTTTTAGTTGAAAAACTGTTTTTTGGTTCTTATGAAGAGGACTCCTCCCTTTCCAAAAACACTGAATCAGCCTCTTCCTGTGCAAGCTGGCCCATGAAAGCCCTGCTGTTCTCCTACAGGGAGCACATGAGCATGAGTGTAGGAATGACTGTGTCTGAAACATTGCATCAGTTTCAGCCTATCAGGATCCCAGCTACAATGGCAAGAAAAGAAGTTTTAATCTCGCTCTTCGAGAGCAAAAGTGTTGCAGCTGTACCATCTAAATAAATTCTTCTCTGTATGGAAAAGTTGTTGAAGGGTGTGTGCCAGTGTCTATGCGGCGCCAGGTACTGGCAGGGCAGAGTCTGATAAGAAACCCCTGCACTTGTAAGAGAGACCCTCAGATAACAGGGCACAGCCTGACTCACACAGACATGACTTTATCAGGGGCCACACAAGGGCCGAGTCAGGGGCCAGTCCACACACACAACACCACTGGGGTGGAAGGGAGAGAGAAAATGAGCGAGACACCTCTGTTCTCAACACTAACCCTGTCAACCTCTTCCTGCTATCCAATTTATCACCGCCCAGCAGGACACAGAAAAATAGAGAGAAACAAAGATAGAGAGAATAAAATTATCTGCACCCTCACTCTACTGAACCCTGGCTCGAGCCGAGCACCTGAGCTAATGAATCCAGCTAGCTAATTAAACTAGATGCTGTAAAGGGGTCCCATAGGTCCAAACCTATAAGAATCACTTCCTGTTAGCACCTGGAATAACCTCAAACACGCTGCGTCTAAATTATTACACTTTCAGAAAAGAATTAGAATAGATTTCTTTTTTAAGAAAATAAATCTAAAGAAGAAATTAACTGCTGATCACTGATGAAGGAAATGTGTAACTCAAGTTCACACAAAAGAATCAAGTTTCTCATAGGATTATATTTATTCAAGAGAACTAATTAATATAGGTGCACTACCATTAAAAAGTCTAGGGTCATTAACATGTTATTGAGGAACATTGATAATAAATGTTTCTTGAGCACCAAACCAACCTATTAGAATTTAGATTAGATTTTGATTAGATTTATGAAAAACCATGTGACTGAATATGCTGAAAATTCAGTTTTGCCTTCATTGGGAAAAATAAAATAGTTTAAAATTCATTAAAGAAGAAAACTATTGATTATTAAGAAAAATGATTATTTTGAAACAAATTAATACAGGCTTGGTAAGCATAAGAGACTTTTTAAAAAAACATTCAGACCCCAAACTTTGGAACGGGGGTGTACGCATTTCTAAGAGCTACTGAAAACACAAACAACCTCCAGATACAATCATTTCCTAACAACCTGTATGAGCTTTAGAAATCAAGCTATTTAACCTTGACTCGTTCCTTCCATGTCTGTGTCCATTTCTGAACACCCATGTATTGAGCTGTAACACTGGACTCAGCTGCCACCGACTTATCAAAGACAGCTCTAAAAACACCCGCAGGGTCACCTCTGAAGATCACAAGCACGCTGCAAACCTGTCTTTCTCTCGTCAGCCTGACACACACTTGCGCAGTGCAGGGAGAGGGAGGACGAGCAGTTGTCTTGTGCAGGGAACAGAGAGGGTGACGAGGGAGATGTAAGGGTGTTGGTTTTCCTTTGCCATGACAACAGCTGCAAACACACAATCCATTTGAGTTATGAGTGTTTGTGCGCAGCTGTCGCGAGAACTCTTACGAGGAGACAACTCCGAGAGCGTTCCCACATTTCACCTCCAAACCCCCACAAGCCGTCCCTTTCATTCAGCAGTGAAGTGTGAATCTGCAATGACAATTTTTAAGTCTGTGCTTTATTTACACATGAAAAATAAACACTCCACAATAACAATTTACACTCCACAATAACAATAGCTGTGCTTAGTAAAATACCTGAGATTCTATCATCCGTCTAACCTTCTCAGATACATTTTTTGCCGAAAAACAACCCCTATCGAGAGACTTTTTCAACTGATCTGCAACATAAATCATCCTGTGATAGCACAGATCTGGAGTGAAACCTGATCTTGCATCAGTCAAGATGGAGCGCATGATCAGCCAATCAGCCAATTTTCCATTTTGCGATTATTCACATCAATAACTGTGTCCAGTAAACAGAAGAAATCCTTCGTCTAGTGTCAGCCCGATAATCTACCGCAAGCTTTTCCAATCAATATTGCACATTCAATTTCATCAAATATTTTTTACCTGATTTTAATTTATTGTTTATTTAATAAATATGTTTAAAATGGCACTACGTCACCAGTATCAGCTATTTAAAGCCCCATATCGGTCTGAAGCAGAGGTCAGGAGAGATAGCAGACACTGTGTGTAGCGGTACAAATTTTCCTCCCCACAGATTAAGTCTGAGTATTTACCGTTACACGACTGCTGCCCACACCAACCTGAGCTGCTCATTTGCATAGACAAATCAGTATGCAAATGCAGGAGAGCTTTTACACCTAGTTCAATCCATGTGTGTGTTCAAAGAAATGTGTCACAGGGAGAAAAAAAAGAAGGTTGAAGTTGTCCTTGGTGGTTTCAGCATTTTTGAGTGGATTGAGGAGAACAGATTACAGCAAGAGAGGAGCAAAGTTCAGGTAAACAGAGCAGAATAAGAGCAGATACTCAAACATGAGGCTGAATCACTGTAGAAGAAACTAACACATCGATGTTTGGTGTCAGAGCATACAGCTTCATGAGAAATCTCAGGAGACACCAAGGGACAAAGTAGAAGACTTCTTAAGAACACACATATGTGCCATTAACGTATAGAGACAAAGAGAGCATGTTTACTCGTACAGTAAAATAAACAACAAAATTAAATTCGTATTGAACATTTAAAAAAAATGAAGTCCCGTCATGAAGTTGGCATTCGCTCAAGCAGAAAAAGTTTTGGCGGCGCAACTAAACAAAGCCAAAATCAAACAACAAATCTGAAGTGTGGTTTCTGGGGTTGTGTCGGTATGTGGAATTGTGATAATTCAAACACCAAACTAGTTTATCCAGTGACGCACAGGGTGAGATTTTGCAACACACCGAGAGAATAGTAGCGCAAACAAAGCTGGTATTGCGGCAGATTTTGCGGCTGCTCGTTCCTCTTTGTTACAAGACAAACAGAGCCGCGTGTTTGCACGTCAGTAGAGCAAGCATTTGTGCACTTCATGAAACTAATGCAGACGGATAACTTGTGTGTGCTGGAACAGAAGTAGATTAAAGCCCGACGAGAAACTTCATGATATTCAAACACAAACAGCGCGTGTAAACAAACGTGTGAAGTGATACTTGCAATCCTGAGAGAAACCTGCTGCATATCACTGCTACGAAAAGTTTTTTACCCTCTCAGATTGCATGGTAAAAATAAAACAGCTTTACAAGCTGTCAGTGTCTAGAATAAACAGTCGTTTATGTTGTGCTATTGACACAGATGTGTCTAGGCATTTAGACATGCTGCACACTCTCTCCGTAGAGCGCATTCATGCAAAACTCATCCGAATGCCTCGGGGGGGAAATCTTAATCTGCAAACAAACAGCTAATTGTTCTGATTACTTCCTTTATGTTCAGTACAGATACGAATATTTTAGTATGCCTGGGTAAGTAAACACATACACATTAATTCGCGAAAACACGTTAAGTTTCTTGTGTGAAGCTAACGTTACCAACTTAAGCTAAGCTCACTCACACCCTAAAATAAGTTAGGAACCGTTCAAACGCCTGGCGATATATCATTTACAACATGAGGCAAAAACTTTGAAGAATAAACTCTTAAAAGATCATAAAGTTAATAAAGAAGTGAGACTTATCGAATATGACGACATGTAAAAAAGTTGTTGATTTAGCAGACTGCTAACAGCGCTAGCGACCCAAACACGAAATTAAGGGGGTGGGTGTGGGGGGGGCTACTTTTCAAATTCTATCTGTTAGTTTTTAAACGTTTTCCAAACGTTTAAAATTCGACATCAAAAGTAAGTCTACTAAAAAACAGAAACCCCAACCGAACCGTCGAGTTGAGTCTCCTTCGCTGAAGACAAATAGTTTGTGGAAGTTGTGAAACACCACATACACACTCGTGGTTCAAGTTTACACACACGTAACTTACCTTCGTCCAAGAGTCTCTCCAGGTGTGTGAAGATGCCGCACAGGTTCGGTAAACTCGTCATGAGCTTCTTCTCGTTTAATAACTGCATGAGATAGTCGGGACTCGGCCTCGGTCTCTCCTTCACCTCCATCTCCCCGACCATCATCTTTGCACACAAACGCTCACAATCCTTCCCCCAGAAAAGAAAAAAAAGAAAACACAAAAGAAAAAAATAACGGTGCTGATCAAATCCCTCGTTCCCCCTCCAAGTCGGCGGCAACCGCTTTCCAAATATAATATCTGATTTGAAGGTGCAGTCTCTCTCTGGCTTTCTCGCTTTCTCTCCCTTCGATAGAGTCGCGCGATGTGGACTCGTCTGGTTCTCTTCGTTTAACTGAGCAAACGCTACTGCTCCGGACTGCCACCAGTGCGCGTTCGCTGAGGAACCCCCGAGAGCACCCGACCCACTGCGCGCCCATTGGCTGCGTGCACGACGCGGACGCGTGGGGTGGCCAATCAGCGCATAGTTTTGAAGAGGCGGGACTACTGCCTTAACCACATGATTCAGTGCCTGAGATGATGGGCAGAGATCAGAGCCAATAGTTAGATGTCACCGCCAGCGGGGATGAGATATTGTGAAACGTAAACGTTGTGTCTGTGAAACAAGTTTTGGGCTTTTGTGTTTTGATTGGGTTTATTTGCTGTTATAACTATATCGTGTTATGTGTATTTTTGTGGCATGTAATGGGATTCTCTGTGTTTAAGCCAGGAAGGCACTTCACGCAAGAACTCGAACGTATGTTGCGTTCCAAAATGTTTCGGAACGCAACTCATAAACGAACGCGTTAGATGCCTATTCTGGCCTTAAACTGTAGGTACATTTTTTTTAAAATATCAGTATTTTAGGTGTTATTCAATATACAATATGAAAGTCCTTATGAAAACACGATGAAATACACTATAGAACACATAAATATGTCAAGTTATATATAAACAATATGTAACACTAAATTATTATTACCCTAATGTTATTCCAACCCTATATTTTATTTTCTTCTGTGAAAAATACCAGGAAATATAATCAGAGAATAATAGCACAAATTTTCACATTTTCCTCACAGATTCATTTTTATGGTAGGGCCTAGCCTATTTTTTGCTCACTGTAGATCAATCTAGTAGGAAGGTCATGTGGTATTGACATTAACATTCAGCAGTTGTTTTTAGACAGTAGCTTGGTACTTTTGACCAATCTTGACCATTTATCAAGTATCTCATTGAAAGAAAAAAATGGATATCATTCAACAAGACACATGTGAACAGACGCTATATCAGGTTGTGACTTCATGCTTCTGACCTTCTCAGCTCCTCCGTTATCCACATGGAAGATAACAGGTCACATTCCTTTAACTATTGACAGCACACCAGCTAATAATATCAGAGTTCTAGGCCTAACAGAAAAGGACATTATCACAATGATGTTTTCCTGTGGTTCCAAAGAGATTGGCTCCAAATACTGTCCAGAAATGGATGCACATGAGCAAAAAATAGCTGAATGCAGTTGCATTTTGAGATGAATGGGAATGGTCCACTTATAGACCTCCTCATTTGTTGCATCAAACAAACATATCCGTTTGATTCACTATGCATCCTTCTATTCACTTGACTCATCATCTTTTCTTCATTTAATCTTATTTTTCAGCTCAGTCACCTATGTAACAGACTGAAAAAAATCACCAATTTCTCAAAGATTTAGCATTTCTCAGATAAGAATCCTTATCAACACTGGCACATACGTTTTCATTTTACTTGGCACGGCGTCTAAGACAGGCCACACATGTGCTGTGTGTGTGTTTTGTAGTGCAAGATATTAATCCCCACCTAAAATCTGTATTTTCCTCTTCTGTTAATAACATGGGTTTAATTCTACAATTAATCCAATTAATGACACTCTAGATAAAACTGAATATGAAATCAAATGGTTGTGAAGCAGCAGAGAGCAGAGAGACGTGAGCTTTAGAGGGGGCAACAGTCATGATCCCGTGGTCAGCTCCGACCGGCAGATGATTAGAAAAGCAGTAGGTGGCATGACTGTGTCTGAAATATGACGTGAGCTCCCTTAAAGCACACACTCTCTTGTGTTATTTTGTTTGAAGAAAGCTTGAATGCTTTGAGTATTAAAATAAACAATACAAAAGCATAAAACAAAAGAGATTATGTGTAGGTGCAGGAACACCAGATCTGGGTCAATTGTGATATCTAAAGAGAGAGAGAAATCACACACTGCTGAGGTGAAGTGAAGAGTGGCAAAGGAGTGTGTGCGTGAGTGTCATTGAGTATATACTGTATGAGTGAGAGTAAAATCACATATAAACCTAAACTAAAAGAAAACATGAAATGGCTTTCTCTTGCTTGGTACGTGTATGGTCAGATGTTGGTGGATCCTGTTCTCTCCACCCAGTCCGTAGACCACCACGTCATTCATGGCTCTATGGCTCCCCAGGGGTCTGCAGTAAAGATTACGGCAAACACACCGTCCTTCATCACTCACACAGGGACCACGGTCTTTACACCAAACAATATATCCAAGACATACTTGAGTCAATGACATATACGAATGTATAAAACACTACACAAATTGTACTCTTTGTATTCATGTTAGTTTTTATTAAGTTTTGAAAAGAATAGTACCATTTTCGAGAAAAGTAAGTAGACTAAGTAATAAAAATGTCATGTGGCTTTAACCATCAAGTAAAAGTAAATCATTATTTAAAAAAAAATATATATACTATATTTTTCAAGGTACATTTTTTGTTTTACAAATGTCATATATTAATAACTCATAATTTATTATATATATACAATTAGTATAATTTAAAGTCCATTTTATTACTTTAAATTATATAATTATATATAATTTAAAGTAATAAAATGGAATAAAATTTTATGTCAAGGTGAATGTGTATGTTTATGTGTGTGTGATTGGTTCTCATGGTGGTCCAAAGGATAAGGACAGTGGTTGTACAGGCATTTGTGTGTGTGTGCAGAGTAACAGCAGATGTGTTTGAGTCTGATAAGAGCGTCTGGCTGAGGAAGAGGAGGAGCGAGGATCAGACAGCAGAACCCCACCAATCTGCAGCATGAGAGAGAAGAAGATCTCTTCAGACTCCTGCCGAAAAACCATTGGCCTCCTGTGAGCCTTCTTCAAAACACACCACGCTACACACCAGCACTACTTTAAATAGACACCGTTTTCAAAGAGGTCGATATTAGAAAAGACTGCTCAACGAAACAAGATGTTACAGAATTTTAGAATTGCTAAAATGCACTGACGTCAAGCTAAAACAACACATGCAACCCATTTTACTTCAATAATCTGATGTACGTCTGAGTGAAACAGGATTTCAACTGAGAAAAAAATAGAGCGGGACTTCATACACACACACCTACACACAAATACTTTTTTTTTACCTTCTTTATTAAAGCTCTGAGGCCAAATCAATAACATTTTTAAGTGCAATTTTTTGAATAAACACCAGAGCTCCTGTCCGTTTTGTGGAGTTGTGGTCTTGGGTTGAAAGGTGCGGGTGACACCTGAAACACGAAGTCACTCTTAAATAAATCTCCATTGAGCTCAGGGCTTTGCACATGCTCACTGGCTGGCGTTGGGTTTCGTGCTGCCCCTGGCAGATGCGCTGAACAAGAAGAATAGGTCCCAGAGGGCTATTTATTCCTGCTGCTCCCTTCGTTTCCCTCCCTCCCCTCTGCACTGTTGCTCCTAACAATCTGGCATTCTTACAGTCTAATGTTTTTCCTTTCCTCTGCACTCACACCAATGTCTCCATCCCTGTACCGTAATGCCTGGATTTTTATACAATCTACGGAATTAGAATAGAAATAGAAAGGAGCCAAATCAGGCAAATGAGAGCAGACATAAAGAAATAGTTGACCACAAAATTCTGTCAACATTTATTCACCCTCATGTCATTCCAAACCCTGTGTGACATTCTTTTTTTTCTGTGAAACTAAAATGTCTCAGTGTATTTTGTCCATTCAATGAGAGTTGTTTTGGACACTAATGGCTTTCACTGTATGGGAAAAACAGTTGAAACACTTCAAAATATCTTCTTTTGTGTTCCACAGATGAAAGTAAGTCATATAAGTTTGGGGGAATAACAGTAAGTAAATTATTACTGAAGCTATTCCTCTCACCATCACAGTTTCTAGGACTCAAGCTGGGACTCCAGGTCTCTTTATTGACCCTGATTGTTGCAGTAAAACTAATTTGAGGGCAAATCCCATCTCAATTCCCACTTGTGTCTGTTCAGAGCTGTTATTTACAGGCGGTGTGATCAAATCTAGATTGAGTTCAAATGTTCCAGAAATCTCAGCTCACTGTAAACATCACCTCATTGGACTCGCATTTAAAAAAACTGCATACCAGCACAGTTTTTGTCCTTGTAACTGATAAAGGAAATACGTTGGCAAAACAATGCACATCCTTCCCGTATACGTTTACTGTATGGCAGCATGATAAATTATTAGAGCCAGAAGTAAGCAATAAGGTAGGAGAGGCTGTGCTGTATCGTGAATAAGTAACGGCTGAAGGGTGTTGTTAGGCACGATGCAAAGCGGAGGGTTCAGAACAAGCGGCAACATTCAAATCTGAAAAATGAAGCCTACCCGGAAGTGCGAAAAACTGCAATACATCGAATATCCGCTAAAATGTCAGTTTACAGCATAAATTCGTGTTTCTACAGGTTGGTCCAAAGGACTTTTATTGTATTTTTCGACAGGTTCTGAGTGCCTGACAACTGTTTTCTAACTCTAGTTTAGATCATATAAAACGTATGACAAATGTATGACGTGGTTAACTTTGATTGACAGCTTGATTGACGGCTGATAACAAGCTGCGTCAAGTGGAATTCCTGAAATTCGACGTCTCGGCCATAATCTAAAAAAAACACATCACCTCTGTATCCTTTTGAACATTTTTATTGAAATATCGCACATAAAATCGTACTTCGCTCCATTTTTTTTTTTTTCGGTAAGTGACATTCCACTACTATAGCACTATTTTAGCATCAATGTTTGTAGGTAGTGGCACTGCAACAGTTAGCATTAAATCGCCTCAGATAAGTTAGCGTCCGAGGTAGCGACAGGTGGGGTTTGGGGGGCTAATACAATGCTAAATCATAAATAAGATGTGTACAATAACATACCGATGTCCAACAATTGATTTAAATAGTACAGTGTGTTTAATTTTCGTTTAATGAGATCTAATATGTCATTGTTGGTGAGAATTTTCACACGAAAAAATACATATCCGACAATTATATGCATGCACGTTAATGGTCCAGTGGCAGAACTTTTGCCAAGCGTGTCAGAGGTTCTGGGTTCTAATTCCACACTCGTATAGTTTTTTCTTTTGCGTCTGCCAATGAATAAATGTAACATAAGAATAGACTGATACTGTATGTCCCACATTGGATTGTTCTTCAGCAGCTTTCCAGTGAATGTAGTAGCCATAAACTGTAAAAAGTAGCCTAGTCTGCCAGTTGAGCTTGTAATGTTACAGATAGCTGAGGCTGCTTGGCTGAAGAAGCGCGTCCACCGGCCGGCTCAGTCTTACACAAAGCCACCCCTTTTACCCATATGTGGATTGGCCAGAAGGTGGGTGGGGTTAGGATTTCCCAAGATTCTCAAAAGATGGCGCCGCCCATACCCCCCATAAACGGCCTCAAAACCTTATTCAGAATATGGTTCAGAATCAAGGATTGGAACAAACTGTTTTGTAAAGTAATATATATGTAGTGATTTTGGGGGCCTGTTGTCCATAATAACACAGCTAGTTGCTTAATCTGATTGCAAAAGCACAAAGTGAGAAGACTTAAAATTCATGCTACAAAATTACTATTCAGTGAAAAAAAACACACTTGAGGCATCTGATTTCACAGGTAAGAAAATATACTGTAAAGGTTGTTAAGCATGAGGGAAGCCCCTGACTGTGTGTGTGTGTGTGTGTGTGTGTGTGTGTGTGTGTGTGTGTGTGTGTGTGTGTGTGTGTGTGTGTGTGTGTGTGTGTGTGCACATATACTCTGATAAATTAATGTTTCATTCACTTCCATTCAGCTCAGGTTCATGGCTTTCAAAAGCAAATAATGTTGCTATCTGAATACTTGCTATACATGTCATGTGTTATTCTGTGCACTCTCTGTCCCTTCATGTTTAAGTGTACTCTTTACTAAATGTAGATATATATGTGAATGAGTGTCAGGTTTCTGTGCTTTATGTTTTTTAATTTGAAATTTTGGTATTCATTTATTTCATGTTCTTCTGAAGTTTTGTTTTTGGTCTTTGTAGTTCTTTTGTTATGATTGTCTAGTCTTTTGTGGATTGCTGTTTCGTTGGAAGTAGCTGTGCTATTTCATGAGTTTCATGGATTATGTTTCATATTAGGAGCCATTAAACATATTTTAACTGCATCTAGATCCAGTATCCTTCATCTCAAGGCTATGTTACAATTTGAGAGATTTGTGCTTGGAAATCATCAAATCCATAGCTAAAATCATCATTATTTTAGGGTCATTTTGGTAAAATCACTTTAACATCTCTGCACACACACAAGAACAAAGATTTAAAAACATTCAAATATAAAATAAAAACACCCCACAAAGAGCTGACCCGAAGAGACAGATAAAAAAGGAGAACTAGATAAAGAAAGCCGGAAGCTGGGGTGTTGAAATGATCTGTTAGTGGAAGTCATAAGTGGGAAGGCGTATTAAAAGCTCAAAGTCTTTAAAATCCCAGTTACCACGGATACACTCATTTGAGATACCATTTGAAAACATGATAACATACTCGGTTACTAACGTAACCTTGGTTCTCTCTAGAAGAGGGAACGAATACTGCGTAATATCTTATGGGAAAACCTCTTTTCACGAAAATTATCCTTAATTTTGAATTAATATAAAACACGTTTCTGCAGAATGCAGACATAGGCAAGACGGCTCGCATGCTTATTGGCTGTCTGGCGGCAACTGCAGCAGACTATCGAGAGAGGTCCTTGGTGACGTCAGATCCAATGGGGGAGCTTTGCGCCCACTCTGTCACCTCCCGCATAAGCAGGCGTGGCCTGGGACTATAAATATAGCTTGATAGCTCGGCTGATATAATCTGGTTTTGCATCGCCGTTAACTCCAACCAAAGAGGAAATATGCACTATAGTTATTATGGGGCAAATGTATTCTCAATTACAGTAGGTGGGAATTAATTGGTAGAAGAGATAATAATAAAACAACAAAAACAAATAATTAGAAGAGAGATTTCAGGTGGCGAGTGTTGGAAGGTGAGTGAACAGCCAGATGGGGAGTCTCACTATTTATTCATTTTTTTCCCCTAGAGAAACCGCTGAGAAAATTGGAAGAAAAAACAAGGAAATGTTCATTATATCAGGAAACAGAGCTATAGATCAGCGACTTTCTGTGAAAACTACCAGTATGATTAGAAGAGATTCTGTGGCATGATAAAGCTCTTTAACACAATTAAAAGATTAAATTTATATGATCATATCAATATCATAGTGCAGTTTTATTATAATAATATAGCATTTGATTTAATTTTAGATTTTATTATATATATATATGAAGAGTTCAGATGCAAAAGCCTCTAAATGCCATTTGAAATTTTCTTCTTTAATGACGATTTTTATCAAACTTGTATATTTAAGTTCAGTAATTTCACTTAAATGGCAATGATAATTACCTATTAATTGTTATTTAAGTGAAATTCCTGAACTTAAATATACAAGTTTGATAAAAATCATCATTAAAGAAGAAAATTTCAAATGGCATTTAGAGGCTTTTGCATCTGAACTCTTCATATATATAGTAATGTTATTTTTGTAAATTTAGCAAATTTTTGTTGTACATTTTTGTAAATATGTCAATTTTAGGCTGATTTTAAGGCAATTTAGGGAATTTAAGTATATATATATATATAGACTGATCTAGATAACAACATGAATTGGATGTGTGTGAATTTTCTACATTCCTCTTTGGATAATTCCTTACAGAATGAAAATGAAATGCAGGTTAGTTGCAACTGAGAGATTTATTGACCCCTGTGCTCCTTGTGTCTGTTGGAAGCTGTGTGTGTGTGTGTGTGTCTTCTCTGATTAAGGCAGCTCTGGTGCACAGACTCATAACATCTGCATTATGACTTCAATAAAGTCAGAAATTAGGAATGTAACAAACAGTAAGGAGGGTGTGATTACATGTTTGAATAAGAATGTGTGTGTGTGTGAGAGAGAGTTCTCCGCTCTTTTTAGTTGAGGAGGCAGGACTCGTAGGTGGGCACCATGTATTTGATGTTGATGAAGGCATCCTCGCCCCCGTAGCGTTCAAACACCTCAAGCGTCTCCTGGATCAGGTCTCCAATGTTCTCCCTTTTCTGCTGGCTGTAGTCAATACCGTCACCTGTGTTTCCTGCACACAACACACACACATATTGTTAAATTAATTTTGTTAATTAATTTAATTAATTCATTTGTTAATTTGTGTATTTAATAATATAATATACAATAACAGTAATTAAATTACCATTTGTGATGTTTAAAGGTCTAAAAGCACTAATAAAGTGTATAAAACACACACATTCTGAATGAAGCAGCTCTGATGACTGTTCAGCAGGAGTGTGTGTACCTCAGATACACTGAACAAATCTGTAATGATTTATCAGGAGGAGGAATATGTGTGTTTGGCGGATGTTCTTGCGCATATCTCTGCCGCTCTCTGATGTCACATTAGAGAAACCCATAAATCCCTGAGCAACCTACAGCACTCACACACACAAACACACACAAATCGATATATTCACACCATCCGAGTCCTCCACCATCACACATACACACAGACTCCTCCTCATAAACACACAAGCCCTCCTGCTATACCAACCAAACAAACTTTCTTCTGAGGTCACACAGGCCCAATTATACCTGCAAAGAAGCCTGAACACACACACTCACACACACACACCTTTCCGTCTCTCTTGCCTGCTTATTAAAAGAAAAGATGACAGGCACATGAAAAGAGAGCAGTTAAGTAGGGAGCTTCTCTCTTCTAGCGTGTGTGAGTGACTGTTGTCTGTTTAGAGTTTGTGTAACTGTATGTTTTCATCTGCTTTTCTTATTTACTGACTTGTGGATCATTTCCATCTACTCCGTACACCAACTCCTCTCACACAGGTCTCAAAACACACAGCTGTCAATAAAATATTAGTACAAAAGCAGAAAGTCTTGTGGTGTGTAAATATGCTCATCTGTACACAGACAGACCCTTTTAAGCAGCCCGCAGGCAGTTGCCCAACTAACAGGCAAGGTTCTCTCAAAGTTATGAACAAATATATTAAAAATTAGCTTCTTATCAACAACACTGTAAAACAGTAATAATGCAAATTATTATAACTAAAAATGTAGTTTATTCTTGTGATGTGAACTTCCAGCATCTTTACTCGGGTCCTCACATTATCCTTCAGAAATCATTCTAATATGATGAATTGGTGCTCAAGAAACATTTATCATTACACTCAGGTACAAGAGCTGTCACTGGGATGATGATACCCTTTCAAAAGGTACACCTTTTACCTAAAGAGTAGATATTGAATGAAGAAAGAGTGGATCTTGAATAGATCAAAATGGTACATTTTAAAACCTTTTTAAATGGTACCATCCTTGTGATGAACAGAAAGTTCAAAAGAATGGCATTTATTTGAATCAGACATATTTTGTAACCACTGAATGGGAGTATTCATAATTAGGCATGTTGGAAGACACAAAATAAAGGCTGTAAGGCTGCATGTGGTCATCCTGTTGGCTAGATATTCTCTATATAGTCAATCTGGATTGGATCCAAAAATAGATGCAACAGACCACCCTATGCTGTCTGGAGTCTGGACCCCAGACACTCATTTCAATGGTGTGACCGACCGTCTGCTGTGGATCTGTACAGTTGTAAACGACAGGCTGCAAGTATCATCCTCATGGGTCACACCAGAGAAACCTGTCAATCACACTGCAGGGCCTGCACTATTCGCACATCAGAAACACAGGAAAATAAAATCAGCTCTCTCCGGTAATCCTTCCTTCAGGTTTTCTACGCTTTCTCTCCCTCATTCAGCATCTTTTCACCAGAGTAGGAAGAGAGAGAGAGAGAAAGTAGGGGGTTAGAATGAGCAGAGTTTTTAAAGCAAAGATATGGAGAATGCTTTGAAGAGGTAGGAGAGCTTAATTTGCCATCTGCACTTAAACCGTACAGATATGCTTCTGTTTGGAATCATGTGGAGTCCAGCCTCTGATGTATAGGGTTCAGGTGTGGTGTGAAGTTCAAGCAGGAATGAGGATTCTGCATCTTTCAGAAACCAAAACCAACACACGCATAAATAAATACACCTATTTCTGTATCAGTTATTCTCAGCCTCAGATGGCACAATCACAAATATGGATTGCTCAATAACCATCTGATATAAATTGAACACAAAATGGCAAAAGCTTTCTGAAAGTAATTTCAATCGGATTCATGCCAATTCTGGGAATCAGAGTCCACAGATTTGTATCAGTCTACCAGGAAACGAAGCCGTAATTACAAGTTTCCATACAGTGAGCATCTCTGATCAATAATTATTTGCTGGTTTGAAATTTTACAAGGTTCATGGCATCCAAAAAAAATTGTTTTTAATTCCTCCACAAGATCTCCACGATTTATCTTCTCCACATTCCATTTTGTTCTGTTTATTTTCTGTTTAAAGATTAAAAATATACCATTTAAAAGTTTGGGGTGAGTAAGGTCTTGTTTTTGAAGTCTCTTATGGTTACCAAGGCATGGTTATGGTTGACAAAAATAATTAAAAACAGCAACATGGTGAAATAATATTATTACTATTATTATTTATAATAACTGTTTTTTTTTTATTCTTTGATTGATAGAAAGTAAAACAAAATAGTTTTGAACATTAGAAATGTCTCTACTGTCACTTTTAACATTTCATGTTTCCATTCTTAATTTACTCACCCCAAACTTTTGAATGGTAATGTATCAAAAAGAAAATTGAGAATTAAATATTAACAATTGAAGTAACACTGTGTGATATAGAAACGCAATAATGAGAAATAAAGCCTAAGGAGAAAGAATTTCAAAACAAGCTTCTATACGTTTCAGATTTACTCTCATAAAAATATCCTTGGCTTGTTTTTGTCTTGGCTTGTTCACATGAAATGGTCAGACAGTCGCTTCCTGTGTAAGTAGGCAGCTCTTGGCCAGATTAAGTTGCAATATGGACCAAATGTTAGTCACAATCCGGCAAAGCAACTACATCCAGATTTTGAATCTGTGTGTAAACGGAGGGCTGCTATTTTGTCTTGAACAAATGTTCTCTTTGATTTCTCTTTAAAATGTCAATCATAAGGAAACCCACTTCCATATGAATATATCTGTACTCTCTTTTTCTCTCTCATCTGTTCATTGTAAATGTGAGTTTGAACAGCTGTCTTTTTCATCCCCCCTCTTCGACTATTTATCCACACCTCTATTCTCCCACCTCGCACCATTCTTTCTCCTCTTCGCATCTAGGCAGCCAGATTGGCGTCAAGAGGGTTGTCATGTTAGAGCAACTAATCCTTCCCTCTTTCTCAGTATCTCTCTGGACATGTTCAGGGCTGGAGCTAGGGCAGCAGCTGGAGAACTCATGGTTCTTGTGTTTGGGTTTAACTGGACTGATCCAAGCACAGAATGTTGATATTGGATTACACTCCCGCTAATGGCCGACAGGGTGTAAAGAGAGTACAAACAGTGGAGCACTGTGAGGCAGGACATTTGCCAAATGACCAAGACTGCTCATCACATTTAAAAAGAGAAAAGAACATAATGTACTTCTGAAAAAAAAAAATGTAACATTTCAAAAAAATGGTATTATCATGTTTTCCAGTTAAAAATCTAGACCTAAGTCTTATTTTCAGAATTTTCATATTTTAAGTAATTTAACCCCATAAAATTGTGTTAGTTTTAAGCTGAAAACAAAGTAACAACAACACAAAAACAATTCCAGTGGGTTAAAAAAATACATTCAATTAATTTGAATACATTCAATTCAAGATCATTATTATATAGAAAACACTGGCTTCGCAGGAAAAAAAAATCTATTGTTTGAATGGTGTTTTTTTTATAAGAAAAAAAAAATAAAAATACTAATTTAGACTATGATATTTGCAGAAAACCTTGTCTGAAATTGCTTGTTACCTAGCAAAAAAAAAAAACAAAAAAAAAACAAGCTATAGTTTTTTTTCTTCAGTACAAACAAAATGACTGAAGCATTAAATTAAATGAGCTACCATTTTATGGGTGTGTGAGACTTGTACACACTCAAGCACACATCATCATCACTAACTCAGAACTGCGTCATCTCTGTCTCTGCCATCTCTATCATTAGCACCTCATTAATAGATTATGTAGCTCACACATACATACATACATTCTAATAAACACTTGTTGTTCTTTACATACATATGTACACATATAGCTAGCTCTGATGTACCCATCAGAAACCACTATACCCATCCTGTACTCACACACACAGCAGGTGAGAACAAAGATGTCAAATCAGCGGCTAGTCTAAATAATACATAAAAAATGTCCTTATTTTTTTCTTTAAACATTCTCAGCAGTTCCTCTCACAGGTCCCGACCTTGCGTGAGCTCTGCAAATGGTGGTAGCATTAATATTCATGTCTAACAGCTTGATTAAATGTACCTTTGCACCGTGAACAGGTGTGCATGTGTGAATAGCTCATTTACACCTCATAATGGTGAGAGCAATTGTTCATGCAAAACAAATTTTTTGATACGTCTCAGGTTTCATCATCTAGTTGCTTTGGTTCATAGTTTAGAATTCTTTGTGTGAAGAATTTAGTAACACTATACAATAAGGTTTTATTTGTTAACATTAGTTACCAACATTAGCTACCTAACAAAGAACAACAGCTCTACAGCATCTTATATTGCTTATAATTCACGTTCTTGCATATGTTAAATAATGTTAACGAATGAGACCGTATAGTAAAGTGTTACCAAGAATTTTTGGAAAGCCCTGATTAGAAAAAAATGAGATATTAATGTTCGAAACATTACTTTTAAGGTGTTGCATTTACAGAAGAAATGAAACTTTAAACCAATTATTTTGATGTTGAGCTACAAATGAAATGTAGAGCAAACATGTGGGCAAAAGAAAGAAAGAAGCAACAGCCTGACACAGCAAAGAAATAGGGGGTGTATAAAGATGGTGTCTGAGTAATCAGTGTTGTTAATCTTCCTAGAAAAAGAGGCGTTAAGCTGAAATACACACGCCACACAGACACATACAGACAGAAATGGGGAAATGCTCCACATGTAACATGAGTGCTGAGAGATTCTCATGAGTTGCTGTTTGTGAAAGAGGAG